AGCAGTGTGCTTTCAAGAACGCCTCGCTGCTTGCCAGAATTAGCAGCGGAGTTCTTACGAAGAATTCCTTTGTTCTTAATTTCCTCGTGCGACTGCCAAACGAGATCAAAACTGACACAAGAACAAAGCATAAGATGCTCCTGACCTCCAAGAACATCTATTGCGGCTTCAGACATGCCATTTCACTCTCTATATTATCGAAATGTTCTAAATTCACCATCAGCTTTAAGTCAGTAACTCTCTGATCATTTTATATTTGGATTTCACAAGGTATATGTCAATTTAACAAACGACATTTAACTGAAATTTTATAAATCGTATGTTATTATTGCATAATTTATGTAACGACACAAACGAAAATCAGTTTGGCTCAAGAAGACTCTAGTACTTATGATCATAAGTTTGTCTGTAGTTTCAAATACGAAATTAATTTTTGCGAACAGGTACCTGCTATACATACAAGCATTACTTTGTAGGATTTGAGGTTTTCATGGCGGTGAGTCAGAAGATGGCTGTCTTCTGGTTTGTTGTGCCGTGTGGTCTGATAGAAGTTTACCGACGTTTCAGAGGTCATTGCTGCCTCAATCATCAGCGCGATTACAGACCTAGATGAACATTGTCTATTAACTGATGTAAGTTTTATGTCTTCCTACCCGATGTTAACGATGTTGACTTCATTCCTGATTCCAAGTGCTTCGACTTTACCATATTGAAAGACGGGTCACTATCGGTTAGCTTACAAATGTAATAGCCGAAACGTCCCGATTCTCTCCCAACCGATATTACGTTTTTTTATTATTATTTAGTGTTCTGTCTTACGACAGATCCATTGCTCTGCCCAAAAAGAGCTCTCCAGTTTTCCCTATTCTCAGCTTCTCGCTTTAATTCCTGGAACGTCATCTTCTTTCCTTGTTTAAGGTCGTCGGTTAGCTGTACCAATCTTCTTCCTAGTCCTCTCTTTCCTTCAACCTGGCCTTCGATGATATCACTCAGTAACCCATTCCTTCTCATAATATGTCCCAGCCAGTTAGCTTTCCTTCGTGTAATCGCCTGCAGAATGTTTCTTTATTAAAATAAAATGAATTAAATCTTTATGACGATAAGACACCTCAAGACGGGAGTAGATCCAACTCCGTAAACCTATAAAAATACCTCAGCCATTGGACAGTGTAGGACTACAATATAATGTTCCTGCGAAGAATGAACCATAATCGCATACCTTTAAAGAATCACAAGCGAACATTCGCACAGCTTCCTTTGTAACAAGACAACGTAGATGGATGTAGTTTGTCTCCTTAACCTGTATCAGCATCCTACACGATTAGAAATTAGTCTAAGCCACAGGCAAATCATAGATTGCAGCATGAACAATTGGAAAACTATAATTACACTCAGAGTTAATTCCAGAACGTTACCCGAAGGCAAGAATAAACCTCTATAAGGAGACCACAGATTAAACCATTAGAATAGTCAGTCACATCCGTGGAACTAATTCTGTGACAGAGAGTATCGGTCGAAAAATCTGAAGTAAAGAGGTCATTACAAAGATCTAAAATTAGATGGAAGTACGATGGTATAATGGATATAAAGGAAACAGGGCTTGAGATTATGGACAGAATTAATCAACAAATGTGAAATTGTACATCGTTTAAATTATAAAGCGGTAAAACTATTTTTCGAAAGCTGTATTCTGCTTCCGCCTTCACGTAAAAAAGATATGAAAAGAACGGCCTACCTGTTGGGCCCCCAGGTTGAGCTAGCGTCAGACCTAAAGTCCAGGTCCAGCCCAATTCTGAAAACATTTTCTTGAAATGCAACTATCTTCATTTTTTCACATTGGGTCTACTTCAATCTGTCGTATTTTGAAATATTTGTGATCTGTATTTGTACTGATGATTGTTTACAGAATTCACTCAACATGTTTTACATTTGGTACTAAAAAATATTTTCTGGAAAACAGCGGTTCTATTCTAGGGATGCAAGGTCGATTCGATACTGTATGGATGTGGAAGGAAGCCTCCATGACGCATTTATGGAATTACCCAGGGTGCACTGAGAGAAAATACGAAAATCATCATTCAATGTTCACGAGAATCTAACCTACCACCTACAGATAAAAGAAGCCTGAATATTGAACATGTAATCGCTTTCGCCACGCCAGTATGTTATTATTCATACAAACAGAGAACATTTAATTTTTACATATCGCTGACAGTAATTTAAAAAATATTAAAACAGGATTTATTTCAAAAATATTTTAAAATATGTAATTAAGGAAGTTTTCCTTAAATTCTCATATCTGCTAGACGTTTTACAAATTCCAATACTAAAATATTTGAAGATACGTGTGTTAACATTACTTTTCAAATAGTAATATTGCTTATTCTAATATAAGGCTGAGGTGTTAGTTCATTCAAGCGCTTTCCCATCAACTCGTGTTGGTTAATACATTTCCTCTGCAAATGGAAAGAATTTCACGTTTGGATCGAGCTTAACTACATCTTATGTTAGTCCTGGCAGAGAAGTACACAGTCATTAACGAAAATTATAATCCCACGTCTCGATTTCCTGCCCGATATCAAGAGCGAAACGTCTTCCCCGAAATTCTGTATTCCGTGCAAGTATCGGCGTTACTGATGTCCTCGTCTGCTCCTCGTCGCCATGGTTACTAGTTTACAGCTAAGCTAGGTTAGAGGAAGAGCCACTTAAATGTAGTCGTTTTCAATTAAAATGATTGTGAGGAAACTGCTAGTGGATATGACATCACATCGTAATGAGTTAGAAGGGAAATCTTGAGAGTTTTGCAAAGTACGACAGAGGCGACATGGAGATACCAGCCACGGAGGGCCCGCAACACACTAGAAATCATCATCATTGTTTTGAGTGTCGATTCTGAAGATATTTGGCTCTCAAGGCTAGAGTTCGTTCTAATTTAACGTAAATTGAATACTGGGATTGACAAATCACTTAAAACTTAAGTTGGAAGAGGAAAAGAGACCACTTTTAAGGGGATAATAACAACATTATTTATTTAGTGTTCTGTCTGACGACAGGTCCATATGAACAGGATCCTTCCATCCTTTTCTCGGACTGGGACCTGTTCATATACGTTCTTGGCAGATGATCCAGAAGTGGTTTGCCATTGCCTTCTTCTGTGTGTGAATGGAGTAATTGTTGGGATGCCACGGAGGAAAACTCCGTGTTGCCTAAACCACGGCCTTGCCCAACACAAGTTATAAATTCGGGTACCGCCGGGAATCGAACCCGAGACCTCCAGGATCAGGGCGTTAAAGTGTGATGTAGATTAAAATGTTTTAGGTTAGGTCCTGATGTCGAAATTTTATCATGCGACATTTAAGCCGGGAATTTCTTGACTAGCCGAGTAAATATTAAGTCTTCAACGAATCCCCTTCACAAAGAAAGTAGTTTGTCAGTTAGTATCGCCTTCGATTAGTTTGTTTGTTTGTTTGTTTGTTACTCAGCTGCTGTTACGTAAAAACCGGAATGCAGGAGGGAACGGAATGTCGAGTACTTGGAAATGAATTAATTGCTTCTGTGGAAATGCTGTTCACAATGATTCACAGTCGAGCGGCTGGTAATCAATGTTTACTCCAGCCCAGAAGAGCTCACATATCTGTAGCGTGTATAACCTATAACCAAAAAATTCAACGAGCTGTCACTGAAATATCCGTCTCGCTGCTCTTTTTGATTTCCAAGTTCAACTGCGCGTTCACTGCGTTTGATGGGGAATTGGACACGTTGTAACATAACAGTCAGATTTTTCACAACTCGCAGTAAGAGACATAATTGTCAGATTTTATGCACTTTACTCGAATTAATTTTAACTTTAAGTTAATTTCAATAGCGGTTAGAACGCTGGCCTTGTAATCCTGGGGTCTCGGGTTCGATTCCCGGCGGTGCCCGAATTTATAACTTGTGTTGGGCATGGCCGTGGTCTAGGCAACACGGAGTTTTCCTCCGTGGCATCCCAACAATTACTCCATTCACACACAGAAGAAGGCAATGGCAAACCACTTCTGGATCATCTGCCAAGAACGTATATGAACAGTTCCCAGTCCGAGAAAAGGATGGAAGGATCCTGTTCATATGGACCTGTCGTCAGACAGAACACTAAACAAAACAACCGGGAAATACTAATTAGCATTTATAAATTTGTAATTTATAAATGTGTTTTGTGCAATTTTGCTTAGAGTTTCTCGTCACCGTCTTTTAAACACTGAATTTAAATAAAAGTCTTTTTTTGATTAATCCCCACAGAAAGAATTCTGAACATCCCAGGGCTCAAAAGCCACACATGACATCGGCCTTTCGACAAGATTTATCTTAATTACAGTGTCACGAGTGAGGGTAGGAGAGTCTATTAAACTGGGAGGACCTGTTATAATTCAATTTCTGTAACGTGTTAAGTCATTATTCTAGTGTTGCATTTGAAATAGTAGATCATATATAAAGTTAATCAAATTTAAACTCTCACAATTAAATATTTGTATCTTCCACTGGTTATTCTGATTTTAATGTGGGGGGCCACGTTCTAGGGTCATTCTATAAGAAAAACAGACTCTTATATCTGAAGGTCCACGTGTATAATTATATAAAAATATAAACGAAAAATAAGGTTATCGCCTTAGTATCTGCCCCTCAAAGTTTTCTATTTGATTTGTAGCAAATAATTAATTAATTCAGAACTGGGAAAACAATCAATAAATCTGAGAACTTTAAATATCCAAGTTAAAAGTTTTAATACTTTCTAAAAATAATAAAATTGTATTTATTAATAGTAATAATAATAGAATCAAAATATTGGTTAAGTTTTACGTTGTGTGAACCAAATCATTTAGGAATATTCACAAAAGATAACAAGTACATTTGTGTTACAGTGTTGATATCGTAAGGGGGAAAATATAGTCAATAAAAGTAAATAATTGGAGAAACAAACATTCGACTGCCAATGCAGAACTGGAAATGTTTAAAGAGCCTACCTTGTCTTCATTCTTTACTGTAGAGACGATGACATAAGCTTTTACTGACAATACTCGACCTGCGTGCATTCCTCTTGTTAACGACCGTGATTGTACACAATACATTAAACTTAAAAACAAAATATCATCGCATAAACTGCGATTCTACAAGCACTTGGCACAAATAACACTGTTTCCACGAGACAAACATGCAATCTATACACAGCGAAGAAGTTTCAAAACAAAGCTTCTCGTGGTACGTCGTCGAAATGCTCAAGACGTTTCCACCTGACATAAATGCGTGTAGAGAGCGCATTGATTTCAATACCCGTTGCGTCATTTACAGGTTGCCCTCTGGTACTAACATTCTGCACGCTGAAAATACGTACGAACAAGTACTCAAAACAGCAGTAGTCAAATTGAACCGTGGGCCTCCTCGATGGCGCGGTGAAACAGTTAAATGAAAACAGATAAAGTTTCGAATAACATCAATGAATCAGAAATTAATTATAAAATATTATAATTTATATTCTCGAATACAGTGTTTATGTTGATAATTACAGGGCGTGCTGGACACTGGGGGGGTGAGGAGTTTCGTAAAAGTTTTTCGTTGGTCAACTTAAAAAAAAGAGACTTCGACGTAGATGGGAGGATAACATCGAAATGAATTTTAGATAAATATTTTGGAAAGTGTGAAATGAATTTTTCTGTATCAGAATAGAGCCCAATGCAACCTATTGTGAATATTGTAAAGACTTTTTGGGAGTTATAAAAATCAGGGAATTTCTTTACTAGGTGGATGTATTGCTGCTTCTACAAGGTTCTGCTCTGCACCAGGTCTTGTATCAAGATTTTTCTGATCAACGTTCATAATTAAGATATTGGAGAGCTAATAGATAGCAAATAAGTATACTGGTACACAAAGGTTTCTTTTAACAAATTGTTACGTACGCACAAAAAGTGAAATTATTGTACACGACAGCTGTTTTCGGTTCAACTACTCACGAGACTTCAAAGCACCTCGACCTCTCACCAACTGTTTCAGATTCGAAGTTGTATGATCCGTCTGCGGTGACGTAACGACTCGAAGCTCCTATTGGACACAGCTGTCAAAGAAAGCAAGGCCTCTACCTGCACAGGACCCCACGAAAAATAAACGCGCGGAGAAAAAGAACATCAGTTGTATAGACAGGTTTTTAATGTCTTCAGATACTGTTTAAATCGACTGTTAAAATTTAATCAATCCCTACCGCTCTCCCAACTCCAGATCTTGAATCATGTGACTGTCTTGCTTAGTGCTGGAAGAGTTTTGTCTAAAAATGGTTAAACTTCATTCGATTCTTGAATACCATAAGTAATATGCACATTTGTTTAGCGTTATAATCCCATAAAATAATACAAATTATAAAATGAATAAACCAATATTAATATTTTGTATGTATATCCCGTCGGTGAACGTACATTTATTTATATAATATTAATTTTTATTTTTGAACGTCCTAATTACTGTTTTAAATGTACAGACACTTTAATTATAACCCTGAAAGTATATAATTCATAGATACATTTATTATATAAATCTATATGTATAAATTTTTATAAGCTAATTTGAATTTTATAATTGTCTAATCGATATTTGACTTACGCAGGTCGGCGTATGTCTCAGGTCCTTGAACGACGAAAGAAGACTAGTAATGGGAAGTCATACACATCGTTCTCAAAACAAGTATAAACATTCTAAGTCGCTTGGGTTTTAAAGTCAGTAGCGAAAGAGTATTTTCTTACTCCCCTTGGAATGCGGGATTATATTTCTCCAAACATCGTGCAGACAAGAGTAAACATTTTACTGTCCCTAAAGGCCATATTGTCATCAGTAGAAGCATGTTTTTTTTTTAAATCCGTTTTGGAATAGGGCTTTAAAAAGTTCAGTCATGTTTAGAACTTTCCTATCTTCGTGAAATATCAACATATTAGCGACATATCCTGTTACTCTCCTTTGGAATGCAAATAAAACATCTTAGCTATCATAGGAATTCGACTATCTTTGATCAGAGACGATAATAAGACTATGATTATCTGTGTATAAACATGTTCAAAACAATGTCGCGACATTTTCTGACAGCGCAATATATGAGAGGGCGCTAATTATATCACATTATCAAGGTAGACAACGTAAAGATGGTCTCAGGTATAAAGATTCAAGGAAAGTCGATGGTTTTATGGATATTTTTCAATATCCTTCTTGGATATTTGCAAAAAACGGTAAACTTGTTCCGTTTTTGTACCTCCCTGAATCGGTTAAAGATTCAAGACTAAAATATTCCCCAGAGAATTTGCAGAAGGGTCTGGACCCGTGAGTAGTAATGAACAGATTGAAACCTCAGAAATATTTCGTACAATTGCTGAACATTCTATCCAGTTTAGTCGCCCCAAGAATACACACATCTCCAGTACAGACAGTGGAGCTGTACACGAGCCTACATTTTGGTTTCATCACCCTGATGACTATCAAATCTAAAACTTCTTGACGATGGTGAAGAGTCAATTGAATAAAAATTTCCTTGGATATTATCCATCGTCTAGTAAATATAAAACGTAAAACGACGTTTCGGAGAATCAAATCTAAAACTTCTTGACGATGGTGAAGAGTCAATTGAATAAAAA